CATAGTTTGCTGTGGTCCACACAGTCAAAGGCTTTTGCATAGTCAATGAAGCAGAAGTAGATGTTTTTCTGGAACTCTCTGGCTTTCTCCATAATCCAGCGCATGTTAGCAATTTGGTCTCTAGTTCCTCTGCCCCTTCGGAATCCAACTTGTACTTCTGGCAGTTCTCGGTCCACATATTGATGAAGCCTACCTTGGAGAATTTTGAGCATAACCTTGCTAGCGTGTGAAATGAGTGCAATTGTACGGTAGTTGGAGCATTCTTTGGCACTGCCCTTCTTTGGGATTGGGATGTAGATTCCATCCTCTGACCACTGCTGAATTTTCCAAACTTGCTGGCATATTGAGTTTAGCACCTTAGCAGCATCATCTTTTAAGATTTTAAAAAGTTCCACTGGAATGCCATCACCTCCACTGGACATGTTTTTAGCCATGCTTTCTAAGGCCCACTTGACTTCACTCTCCAGGATGTCTGGCTCAGGGTCAGCAACCACACTATCTGGGTTGTCTGGGATGTCCAGATCTTTCTGGCATAATTCCTCTGTGCCCACATACTGTACATATGTAATAATTAATGGAGATTGTCTCTCTGTGTGCCACTCTCTCCACCATACAACCAAAGCTGTTTAAGATAAAGACCTGAAACTTGGGAGGGGTCTTGGAAAAGCTCTAGTGCTATATACTTGAGGACTGTTTTGAATCAGTTCATGAACGGAATCAATTGATTTGAGTTAATTAAAAAAAAATGTTTCTAGCTCGCAGTACTACCTCCAGTCACTAGGTGCCAGACTTCTTTCCCCTTCCCTAACTGGCACAGAGAAATTATACAGACAGAACGTTGGTGTCTCCATAAGGTCAATTGGGAGCTCCAGCCAGGCTTTTCTCTGCAACTCCCTTTGCCCCAAACTCTCATCAAATGATTAAAAGGAGGAAAGGTCCTGCTGGCTAGTTAAGTGAGTAGGGTGGAAGAAGAAAGGGCAAGTAGAGAAAGAGGCTGAATGAGAGTGGAGGAAGAGAATTACCAGTGAGAAAGAACAAAAGTGTGGAGAGAGAAAAATAGAGGGAAAAAGAAACATCACCGGTATTTGCAGGGACCAATAGGTTTTCAGCAATTTCAAAGTTGTGTACTTGTGCTAGTAACTAGCAACCCCATTTGTGCCTCTGACAGCAGGAGAAAGACATCTGCATTAGAGGATGTAGGAAAAAGATAGCCTTGAGCCTTAGCACCTCTCTTTGAAAAGAAATAAAGCACAGCCAGTCTCCTTTTCTCTATCAAATCCAGTTGACACTCTCAAAAATCTAAGCCCATTAAGGTCCATGAGTGTGTTTGTACTTGCTATACATCCAGCAATGACTAATGCTACAGTTATTTTGTCTGCTTCTCATTTTAATTACAAAGAAATTGGAAACAAAGAGCCTGGTTTTATTTATTAATGTGTTTATGACAAATCTTATAATCTATATCATCTCCTCATTGTTGTTCAATATTTTTAGTGAGGCCCCTGGAGGAGGCCATCAAGAGTTTTGGAGCTTCATGTCACCAATATGTGGGCAACACCCAGCTCTATCTTTCCTTCCACCTCTCTGCAGAGGATGCTGTCCCGTCCATTGAGTGCTGCCTGGATGCTGTGCTAGGATGGATGAGGGATTATAGACGGAGGCTGGACTGGGACAAGATGGGAGTCCTGCAGGTGTCTGTGGTTTGAGGGCCTTTCTCTCCTTTGGAGGGGCTACTCTCTCTACTAAGGATGAGGTTGGCAGTCTGGACATACTTCTGGACCCTGCACTTTCAATGGAGTCCCAGGTAGGGTTTGTGGTCCATTCTGCCTTTTTCCACTTGAAGTGGATTGCCCAGCTGCATCCTTGCCTTGACACCGGATCCCTCTCCAGGGTGCTCCAGGCAATGGTAGTCTTGAAATTAGATGAATGTAACACTCTCTATGTGGGGCTGCCCATGAAGCTGCTATGGAAACTTCAGCGGGTCTTGCATATGGCAGCCAGATTATTGAGTAGAGTAAATAAATTTTATCATATCTCCCCTGCTTTGGCTGTCTTGCGCTGGTTACCTGTTTGTTCCCATGCCAGCTTCAAGGTGATGATGCTGACATACAAAGCCCTAAACAGTTTCGGTCCTCGATACCTGGCAGAACCCCTTCTTCCAGTAAAATCTGTCCAACCTACTCGATTTTCTCAGGTCAGGCAGTTGAGAACATTGATCCTGAGAGAGGCCGGAAAAGAGAAATTGGGCCTTTGCAATAAATTTCCACTTGAAATACACCCGACCCATTGGCTGGGAATTTTAAAGAAATCTTTGTAAATATGGCTGTTTAGACAGACTTTCCCAAATATTATATCGGCAGAGCACAGTGGCGCTTTCAGGACTTAAGTTAATTGCTCCACCACCTTGTCTTTTAGAATTGCTTTTATATTTTCATCTTGTCTTTCTCCTAGTTTTGAGTTGATTGATATGTTTAATTTGATATCTTGTATTGTTATTATGTTTGTGAATTTTATTTAAAGTATTATGTGTTATTTCATTGTGTGGAAAGATTTAAGCACATTCTTAGCCCTGCTGAAACAAAATTGAGAATTGAGGCTCATTTGTACATTATCCCAGCAGTGGAACAGCTGCTTCTCTCTTGGAGTTTTTGCTGGTGTCCGGATGCAGGAACCACTTAGGCTAGTGGTTCCCAACCCTGGGTCCCCAGATGTTGAAGGATGAAAAACTCCCAGAAATCCTGGCCAGCACAGCTAGTGGTGAAGTCTTCTGGACATTTTTGGGTCTGCTTTATTGTGCTCCATTTTGGCAGCCCTTGTTCGGCATTAGTAGACATTTAAAAAATGATTGGAAGACATATGAATTATCCCTTTAGAAGAAAGGCAATGGCAAAAATCACTTGGAAATAATAGATCAGGATTACAAATTTTTCTGATTCAAAGACCAGCCTGAGAATTTCCTTGTTAGGAAAATCAGGGATCATTGTTCTTGAGGGGACAAAAATGTTTAAAATGCTCTAGTTTGCTTACCAAATACCACTGCTTTGCAAACAATGGATCATTCATGTTGATGTCAATTTCATTGATGTCTCTGTATCCTCTCTTCTTCCTCCCAAAGCCTTCTTGCTGTACAGCTTTCTTCACCTGCAATGATTTTTTAAAAAGATTATTTTGTGGACTTGCATACTGCTGACATAGTGCGTTCACTACATAAAACGGTTTACAGCATAATGAAATACTGTTATAGTATGTAAAAAAAAGGAGCAGCATTTCTTTAAAACTTACCATATTGTACTTTTAAGAAAAACAAATTGAACACATGACGAAAAATCCTTATATGAAATTCTAATTGTGATTTCTGCCAGTCAGGATCTGAAGTAGCATATGTGGTTGTGGGGTCTTGTGTACCAGCCATTCCCCCTACCAACCTCATATATACCTATGCCCCTTCACTCTTGACTTCTCCTACTGACTTTCCTGTATTAAAGATGAAGGCCTGAGAGGATTTCTGACATATTTTCACATAAATATGATAAGAATCTCTTTTCAGATACATGAAAATTGCAATTGGAAGTGCATATGGTGATCTCAAAGGCAGAGCAGGTACATAGACACCCCAAGAGTCTGATAAGATTCGTTAATTCACTCGTTTTATTTACACCCCACCTTTCTACCAACAAAGGGCCCAATGCAGCTTGCAAAATATTCAAAAGACTAATATTAAGGCAGTTAAAAATACAATAAATTACAATGTTAAAAAAAAACACAGTTAAATATATTGGCCAAAATATTGTTGTTCAGTAACTCCTGTGCAAAGGGAATGATATCATCAATAGTGGCAGATTGATTGCCATTGATTAAAGGCTTTCTTTTGCAATGTTGGGATGCATTGTTGACTTGTGTATGAGCCGTGTGCATACCAAAATTGCAAATGGAAGTCTTTAATCAGTGGCATTCTGCTGCTGCTACATGATTTCCATTTTGGAATTTCGGTCATTACGTACTAAAATTATTAAATGAAAACAGATTAAATTCATTTTAAAGTACAGTGTTAAACAGATAAAAAGCATGCTATTCTGTATCAAAGTCATTTCCTTAACTCATCAAAAGTGAAGAGAAAAGCTTTTGCTCTCCAGCAGAAGGACAGCAGGAAGGCCTGGCCTCCAATGGCAGAGAGTTCCACAACCTGGGAGCAGTGACCAAAAGGACCCTCTCTTGTGTCCTCACTAGGCGTGACTGTGGCAGTGGTGGTAATGAGGGAAAGGTGTCCCCTGAAGATCTTATAATCTGGACACTCTTATATGAGGAGATGCCTTCTTTCAGATAGCCTGGATCTATAAGTCATGCAGAATTTTTAATTGTGCTTTGAAATGGTGGGTGACAAATTTGTTGTAGCAAGAAATTTCAGTTCTTCCTGTAACCAGTGTCACTTTGTCATACATTATAATTTTTAAAGCCTCAAAACATTTATTTCCTCTTTATTTATTTGTTTAAAACATGGCACGTTTGTGTAGGTTCTTATTTTGTTTTCAAAAAAGAAGGAAATGACATCCTTACTCACATGGCTCCATTCCAAGACATTTTGCAACCTGCATTATATCAGGAAATGATGCCCTAAATCTAATGTTAGTCTAAATTAGTGAGGACTACAGAATCCATGAAATTCACATAGGTGTTGACTACGTCCCCACTGATTTACTGGACCAACTGTCGTTGGGGGCCAACTGTTGTATTCAGGCTGATGCTTTTTCTGCACAGTCAAATTATGTTGGGAGGGATCAATTTATTTCAGCATCTGAGGCAGAAAATTTCACAAGGGCCTTTTAATCTTCCTAGCAGTGCATGGCAGTATTAACAATTATAATAAATTCAGCTCTAAAGAGTGTATTATATAAAATCATACTTTAAAGAGATAAGTATTCATCTTGAATCAGCAATTTTGTCAGTTTTGCTTTTTCTTGCATTTACTTTTCTTTCTATTCTGTTTGTCTCTTTTGGGGAGGCTATGAATTGTATCAAGTTGTTAGGAAGGAAGGGAGGGAGCGAGGGAGGAAGGAAGCCCAAGTAGAACCAACTTCTCCACTTAGCTAATTGAATGGTTGCTAATGTCAGGAGACTTCCCATTCCTCTTTGTCTTACGAAGTAAAAAGTCTACTATCTAAGAAGGAGGATACAACGAGTAGCCTTGTGAGGGAAGACGGGATCTAGTCCTTCATGCCAAAGCACAAAGGCCAAAGGAACATGATCAGGGAAAAATGTAAGAAAAAAGGACAATCTTTGAGAAGCAAGCACAGGAAATGGCCTTATATTCAACCAAACCCTAAGTCCACAAAATTCAGCTTTGCCCACTTTGACCAGCAGTGAGTCTCCAATTTCAGACAAGATGTTCGGCTACCCCTACTTGCAGACCTCTGTTATTCCCTGGGGCCCTTCCACCAAGGTACTAACAAAGGCAACTCTCTCTAGTTTTCAAAATTTGGGGATCAGTCATGTTCAGAATGGGATCATGGTTCAGGATAGTTCCAGCAGCAGGGCAAGGTTGCAGCTGAGATATTTATGAACACCTGCTCAGAGAGATATTTAGTGCACCCTATTAAACAAACAAACCCTGGCTCCCACCATCTTTTACTAGTCCTTGTGTACCAAGCAGAGGAATGCTTAGGGTCAGATTAAAATGTGCTGCAGCAGCCTTAGACTATGGAACATTTAAGAATCCCTGTGGCCATAAAACCATATAAAAATATGAAACTTAAAATTGTGAAGGTGGGTGGGTGTCTATAAGTATATGTCTGTTTATATGTATATATACCCAGTGTGGTGTAGTGAATTGAATGATGGACTAGGTTTGAATTCCCACTTGACCATGGAAATTCAGTGGGGTGTGAAACTGGTAAAACCATTCCTTAAATATCTCATTTACATTTTCAGCCCTAATAGGCTTGCTACAAGTCAATTCTGACTTGACAACATATAATGTGTGTGTTTGTGTGTGCGTGTGCACACACACACACACACACACACACACACACACGTGCATGCGCAAGTACAAGAAGTGGAATGACACAGATAAACTGAACACGGAATCGTTCAGCGGAAGTGAATCACAAGCCTCTGGTTTTGCTCTTTTATAAAAGAATATTCAGTTGTTAAAATGGAAAGCCTACAGCTAGTGACCAAAAAACAGTGCTTACAAAAAGCAGATAATTAACCAGGGAACATCGCCATGTCACAAGGCATTATTGAGGTAGAGCACTAAAGGAGGATTCAGAGAAGGATTAAAGGTTTAAATGAATGAGAATTTCAAGACTAGGATAACAAGCTACAGAGGAAATGAAAGTGCAACCAGTACTTGGCCATAAGCCAAGGGATAATAGCCAGAAAATCAATCCATTTCCAGTTACAAAAAGGTGCACACTAGAAACATAAGAACCTGCCTTATATTGAGTCAGACCATTGACCTATCTAGCCTGGTATTGTCAACTCTGACTGGTAGGTGCTCTCGACGATTTCAGTCAGTATTCTTTCCTAGCTGTACCTGAAGATGCCAGCTATTCCTTCAGCGGAGTGTCTCCTAAGTAGCAAATGCATCCAGAACTGTTTAGCTTCTGAAATCATACAAGACCAGGCAAGATTAGAGTGGTAAAACATATTCATGAAGTTTGTATCCATGTGTTCACTCAGATGTCTCTCATTCCTGTCCTATGGGGTTTAATACCAAAGGGTCAGTCAACACTAAAATGTTAGACAATTGGAAAATACGTTACTAAATAGGGTTCATGCCGTCCATAAAAAGTTATTGTAATGGTCTGTCAAAGTTTGGCAGTACATTTCCCAGCAGTCCTTATATGACATAGATTATGAATTTAGCATGCTTTATTTTATGATTACTCATTAGAATGTAAACAGAGGCTAAATTTGCAAGTACCATTGCTAAGGAACAAATATCTATTGCAGGGTTGTTATCATCTGCTTTGACTCTCTAGGCCTTTCTTTAGGCCATCTCAGGTGTTCAGAAGAAGTTTAATCTAAATGTGTGAACAGGAAGAGATTTCTGGGCCCATCCTCCTGTCTCTCACCTGCCAAGAAGGGCAGTTGCAGAGGAAACTTTCTACTACATGGCCAGTCTCTTCTCACAGTTTGGGACCCTTTAAAAATGGACTTCCTGTTTCTGTAGGAAGGTTCCACCCATAGCACACCATCTCATCCACATAGACAGTGGAGGCAGTAAAAGGCAGGGCAGGGAACTAAAATTGCCCCTTCTCACACTTTTGAATTAATCCTTTTTTCCCCAGTGCCTAACAGAGTCTTGTCATGAAGAAGGTTAGAGATGGGATATTTGTATTTATCTCCCGGGGGAGAAAGATACGAACATCGCCACCACAGGTGTCCAAGCCTCTGTGATTGGCACAGCATGAACGATGACATCCCCACACAACAGACTGCGAGCGGTAAGTGGACTGGCCGGTTCTTGGGAGTGGGTCCAAAGGGCTTGGCCACCTGTGGTGGCAATATTCATATTCATCTCCCTCGGGAGATGGATATGAATAACCCATCTCTAAAGAAGACAGTGTGGACAGACTAGATTGAGAGAGAGGGAGAACTACAGGTTTGGAGCAAGCCTATGAAAACAAATTAAGCATGAATAGGGACTGAAAGTGAAGTAAGAGATTTTTTAACAGTTTGGGACAAAGATAACCCTGGGACTGTCAGCAAAATTATTAAACAGGAAGGCTGAAGCTGTCCACACCTAACTGTTGAAGTGACAACATGGAAGTATGAACCAATACACTTTGAATGCCGTTCTTTTCCTACCACGCCCTAAGTAGCTAGAAAAAAAATTAACCTGCTCGTTAAATTACCAGTCATGTGTTAACTGTGTTCACCAAATGTCAGTACAATGACTGGAGCCTGCCAAGTTTACTATAGACATTGCTAACTAAATTGCCTTCAGCGGTTGTCTTCTATCTTGTGTAGACATTCTATATTGTTTTCTGTATTTGTTAAGAATTTAATGAGCTGAGCCTCCCTGACCCCAGTGCTCTCCTGATGTCTGGACTCCATTTCCCATAATCATAATTGGCCATAATGATGCAGGACATTGAAAAGGCTGATGTAGGACAAGACAAACATACACAATACCATGG